ATTAATATTCATTAATCGCAATATGAATGAGAATAGTGCTTTCCTTTAATCACAATTCTAATAAATTGAACTTGAAAGTATGTTTCCCAGAAAAGTAGGTGGTTCCCAGACTATATACAAATAGGGAATTCCCAAAAGATCATGCTTTTAAACCTACACTTTTTTTACTACTTTACTGCTATATGAATTTTATTTAAATTTAAATGATACATTACACTTTTAAACATTTTGTTTACAGTTTCATCCAAACTCAACTCGCCAGATTAGACTTTAAATTATTTATATTTTGTGACGGGGATTCGTTACAATTATTTTGTTGGATGTCGAACCATAAACTTTATGATAAAACTCGAAGAATTTCAACAAAACACTTTTATTAAACTTTAAGTTTCCGTGACAAATCAAATCATATGTTTTTTCTACCTACTGTCCCTCGATCTTTTTTATAATGGACTCGTCCAAGCGGTCCGAGAGGGGCCCTATAATAATAATAGTTCTCTGTTACAATTTTTAAATAAAACTTGTAGAAACAATCTTAAAGAATACTTCCTACCTATTTTGATTTTTTCGTCTGAATCTCTTAATATTCTAAATGAATACACTTTACTTATTAGATAAGTATACACATGGCATATATATGATTCCAAAAAACGGCGTCAAATTACCTTTGAAATGACAATCGTCAGAATCGATCGTCGTGTCAAAAAATTGTACGAGTATCTAAAAATTTATTTCGTGTTATTATTTCGTTATAGAAGTACTTACAGATTTTTTTCATCTAAATCGATAGACGCGACGCGCGACGGTCAAAAATTGTACGAGTACCTAAAAATTTATCTCGATGCTATGATTTCGTTGTAGAAGTACCTATTCTTTTATCTCGGAATCGATCAGAAAGTTGTACGAGTACCTAAAAAATTATTTCGATGCTATGATTTCGTTGTAGAAGTACATAATTTTTTTTTCTCGGAATCGATCAAAAAGTTGTACGAGTACCTAAAAATGTATTTTGATGCTATGGTTTCGTTGTAGAAGTACCAGAAGTACCTAAAGTTTTTTTTCATCTAAATCGATCATCGTGTCAAAAAAATGTACGAGTAGGTACCCAGAAATTTATTTCGGTACTATTATAATGGTCGCGTTCATCAGGACAAGTTGATCAGTGAGCGATGTACCATCGATTGGTTGTCCTGCTGAACGTGCTTTTTAGATCAAAATCATAAGTAATGCATATTAAATTGTTTTCACCCATTTTTGGCACGAATCGAGGGGATTAGTCAACCGAGAACAATAAACAAAATGCTTTGTTTTCGTTTTCCAAAACATTTTGTGACATTTGGCGTATGTGACGTTTAATCCATCATGCATCGGTAGCGTAGCGTATTTTAAATCTGATAGAAAAAATGGCGACTGATCCCAGAGCGCTCACAACTAATCGGCGCGTTCAGCAGAAAATTAGTGATCGCTGCGGTAGCGCTACGTCCTGATGAACGCGACCAATATGTTACAGAAGTACCCAAAGATTTTATTCATCTAAATCGATCGATGGGTCAAAAATTGTACGAGTACCTAGAAATTTACGTAGAAGTACCTAAAAATGCTTTTCGTCTCAGAAAACAGATCGTCGTATCAAAGAATTGTATGAGTAGCTAGAAATTTATTTTGGTACTATGATTTCGTTGTAGCAGTACCTAAATTTTTTTCGTTTAAATCAGTCGTCGTATTTCTGTTTTGACATTATTCGATACAAAATTACACTCTGAGGGTGCATCCACACTATCCTAAATACGGCGTAACGACCTTGAATCGATTTCCAGTAATTCTATTAGCTGAAATTTTTGACAGATGAATTTGACAGATAAAATTTCTGACAGATGAATTTTTTAGCCAATAGAATTACTGGAAATCTATTCAAGGTCGTTACGCCGTTACGCCGATACGCCGTTTTTAGGATAGTGAGGATGCACCCTCAATAGAATGACATCATAATATATCAATTTTTGACATTTTCGCATATGGTTATACATATACAGAAGTACCTAAAGTTTTTTTTCTTCTAAATCGATCGTCATTTCAAAGAATTGTACGAGTACCTAAAAATTTATTTCGTGCTATGATTACGTTATAGAAGTACCTAAAGATTTTTTTCATCTAAATCGATCGACGGGTCAAAGAATTGTACGAGTACCTAAAGATTTATTTCGGTGGTATGATTTCATTGTCGAAGTAATTACATCAAAATAATTACGATCATCGTATATATGATAGTGACTGTACGATAAGGCCGTTTTGTATGATATTTCTCCCCACAGGAAAATGTTTAAACAAAAAGGTACCGTATGATCGAAAAAAAGCGGCGTCCAGTTGGCTTGGAAATGACGATCGATGACATACACCATATAATTTTACATATAAAATGACAGCAATTTTCATTTCATAGCCATCGCTGACGCCGTTTTTTTTCGATCATAAATATGATAGAATTCAGCTATTTCACAATAATTAATTTTATTGCATTATTTCGTTCAGTGAGATCTAAAATAGTAATTTCAGTGAAACAAAAATTTTGACGGCTACACGTATTCTTTAAACTGTGGCTACACACTACAGTAATACGTTGTATATCCAGTTTACGGCTGGATGCTATCTACCAACACCATGTAAATATGACAAACACGTTTTATGGTTGCATTTCTATAATATGTTCTATCTTCTATATTTACTTTGTATTCGAAAATTTAATTAGAGTAATATTTGGTAATATAATATTCTTATTATTCATTGATTGCAATATGAATGAAAATAGTGATTTGTTTTAATCACACTTCTAATAATTTAAACTTGAAAGTATGGGGTTCCCAGAAAAGTAGGTGGTTCCCAGCCTCTACAAATATGGAATTCCCAGAAATTGATGCTTTTAAACCTACACTTTTTTCCTACTTTACTACTACATGAATTTTATCAGACGCAGAAAATTTAAATTATTACATTTATACTTTTAAAAATTTTGTTTACAATCTCAGCCAAACTCAACTCGCCAGATTAGACCTTATATTATTTATATTTTTAAATAAAACTAGTAGAAGCAATCTTTAAAGAATGCTTATTTTCATTTTTTTGTCTGAATTTCTTAATATTCTAAATGAGCATCTTTTTTCTACCCGTCTTGCCCACAGTGCAAATTTTTAAATTGCCGCCCTCATATCTGTATGTAATAAAAAAATAAGTTAAAATAATTCTTTATAACAAAATAGTAAAAAAGGTTAATGAGTACCTAAATATTTATATCGATGCTACGATGTCGTTGTAGAAGTAACTAAATTTTTTTTGTCGGAATCGATCGTCGTGTCAAAGAATTGTACGAGTATCTAAAAATTTATTTCGATGCTATGATTTCGTTGTAGAAGTAGCGAAACTTTTTTTCTTTTAAAGTATAAAGATAATAAACAGGGTTCCATCATCACTTAGTAAACACTTACAAAATCTACTAAACGAAATTGATAATGCCATTGTAACTTGATTATGCTTATTACAAAGAAATTTGAGATAAAAACGCTTTCGTACAGATGCATTTATAAGAAAGAATATATCGATTACTAACAATAAGTACAATAATATTCACTATAGCAGAAATGCACCATTTTTACTTCTGCACTGTGATCAATTACCGCGTCAAAAGATCCGTTCGTCTAATTCTAATATAAATATTTGAGAATTAAAAGCGGCAACGTCGTGGGTCTGGCGAAAACGAATAAACCTCTATTTTTTATATAAATGGGACAAATTAAACGGTCCAGCATCAGGGCCTGAAGGCATCGCTTGAACATTTTTCGTCCGATATACCCGGGTCTGACGGCCTATCTTAAACGTACCGGGTCTGACTCCGTCGATTTAATAAATATATATATATATATATATATATATATATATATATATATATATATATATATATATATATATATATATAACTATATATGAATACGATACCTACAGTATACAATATTATTAGTATAAAAATAACAGCACAGTCGGCACACTTTAAAATAAAAAAGCAGCATAATATTCAGGTATGTATAAAAGTAAAATTTTCTCAAAAATATTAGAATATGAAATAAATTGCAACTAAATTTTAATTAATAAACATAAACAAATAAAATTGTCAGTGTTATTAAAACTTTATGTAAATATATGTTACCTTAATACTTTGTCTTTAATCCTACTCTTCTGACATGGCTTTTCAAACTTATGCCCAAATCTCAATTCTTGTTATTAAGAATAATATTTATGAACTTTTGTTTCCATATTAATTTCAATATATTTGAATAAAACTGGAAAAATAATCAATATTGGCACTTGAAATTTTAACTTCTTATGTCCTTAAATTATTTATATTGTGTTATACATAATACTTACATAAATATTCAATTTAAAAATAGATCAGCACTTGAACGAGTGAATATAAAATAGTATATTATCAATTTCTATGAGCAATATTATTACTAAATCAAGGAAATCTATTCCTAATGCCAATTTAAATTCTGTGAAGGCACAACACTTTCTTCAATATTTGTTTACTTCCAAAGGGCAAAGGGTATAACTTGAAATATTTCAAGTATATATTTTAATTTTTGACATTAAGCACTCACATTTAGAACATCGAAATAAGAAATTTTTGTTATTTACGCGTCTAAAAAGATATAACATTTTTTATCACTTTATAGAGCGAAATTTCTTTGCGGCTTCAACAAAACTTGCGGATTTCCATACATCGAAATACAAAATAAGATATTATTTATTAGTAGACAAATACCAGAATATAGAAGGCCAAACCAAACCTCTAGGAAATAACTTTAAAATAAATTATTTATTCAAAAAACGTTTGGATTTTGGATCTATAAATTACAATAATAATCTCATCACGTCTGTCAGTGAAATGAGTCAAAAAACATAGGTTACCGTCAATTTATATGTTTTCAATTTCAAATACTCGATGCCCATTGGTCGTGACGAAATCGTCTTCCTCGACAAAATACGGCACGTTTTTTTTGGGCCAGTCGAATATCCTTATTCTATATATCCTTGCCCTTGACTTAATGCTCTGTGCTAAGGCTCTGTGGAACATATGTTGACATTGACTATGGCATTGACGTATTTGAATGAAATTGAGGTTAGTTTAGTTAGAAATCCTCTAAGGAAATCGTCGAAATCATTTTGGGTGCGTTCTTTTAAAAGTTCTAATTTATTGTTTTTTTCAGTAGTAATAATTATTATTAAGCTTTTGCGTAAGACGTTAAGTGGCTTAATTTTGTACTGGTGTGGACGGTTACAAACTAGGATGCAAAATAACCACCATTCAGGCCATCCTAGTACGATGGCCATGAATATGAGGGAAAAAGAAAAATATATAGAGACTTTTAATTTTCCCTTTTGCGAAGAAGCTACTAAATACCAGAAAGTAGCAAAGATAGGACAAGGAACGTTCGGCGAGGTTTTTAAAGCTCGTGATATTAGTAATACTAAAAAATTTGTCGCCATGAAAAAAGTGCTTATGGACAATGAAAAAGAGGGATTTCCTATAACGGCCCTTAGAGAAATTCGTATTTTGCAATTATTGAAACACGATAACGTAGTTAATTTGATTGAGATATGTAGGACTAAAGCTTGTGCTGCAAATAGATATAGGTCGACGTTTTATTTAGTGTTTGACTTCTGTGAACATGATTTAGCGGGACTTCTGTCTAATGTAAATGTAAAATTTAGTTTAGGTGAAATTAAAAAAGTGCTTCAGCAGTTGCTTAATGGACTTTATTACATTCATTCGAATAAAATTCTACATAGGGATATGAAAGCTGCAAACGTCCTAATAACTAAAAATGGAGTTTTAAAATTAGCTGATTTTGGATTGGCTAGAGCCTTCAGTTCTAGCAAAAATGGACAACCAAATAGGTGAGTAAGATTACTGAATCTATCTAATATTTTATTTCGTTAGGATTGTCCTCATTCCATTGATCAGTTTTAATTAATGTCTTGAGAATATAGCCCTTACTATGATTTATAAATCAATTCAATACTGCGTTGTAGATCTCATAAAGACTGTTCTTAGCTTTTTATTTTATACCTAATTTTAAACTTATAGGTTTACAAATCGAGTAGTCACATTGTGGTACAGACCCCCCGAACTACTTCTTGGGGAACGTAACTATGGGCCCCCCGTTGATTTATGGGGCGCAGGATGTATAATGGCGGAAATGTGGACTAGAAGCCCTATTATGCAGGCAAGTTTAAATTTCTGTTTTAAATATCTTCAATATATTTTTAGAATTCGTTAATATCTAAACAGATATTTTAAATATTTAATCATTTTTCTAGGGTAATAGCGAGCAACAGCAGCTTACACTAATATCACAGTTATGTGGTTCGATTAACCCGCAGAGCTGGCCTGGTGTGGAGCATCTCGAGTTGTATAAAAAAATGGATTTACCCCAAGAGCAAAAAAGAAAAGTAAGAGTCAAAATCAATATGTATTTAGTAATTAACCTAATAAGGAATGCATGTTTATTGAATAATTAATTGTAAAGTTTTTAAAAAAATTACATACATTTTGGGGGTTCATGTATTTTTTTTTAAATATTTACAATTGCTTCTAAACATTGTGCCTTCTTCCAAAGGTATATAATAATCTGTGATATAAACTACTAATTTTTATATATCCAAAAAAATCCTTATGGGTTTTTCGCCACTGCACTGCAAGAAAAATCAAAAAAATCATACAAAATAAAATAGTTAATTTTTTTTTCTTTTTTTAGTGGCGAAAAACCCATAAGGATTTTTTTGGATAGATGAATCCGCCACATAGGTATAGACATTTTTTACTAATTTTTAATTAACAACACTGCATATAAAGTTATCTTATCAGCATTAGCATAACTAGCAATTTATCCTGGGGTGGGCCTGTGGGGGGGCCCGGGTTTGAGCTCAGGGGGGGGGCCTAGGGCTTTTGTTTTTTTTAAACGAAAAATAATTTTAAAAAGCCCATTTTTTTAATAAAACGTTTTACATGAATTTCTCTATCAATAAATTTCATATACTTGGTTATCCAACCGTGATCCCGTAGATTACTTAAATACCTACAAATTTTCTAAAAAAATAAAAATTAACACATTTTTGAACACAACAAAATAATATCAACTAAACAAAACTAGAAAACGTCATTTTTACTGCATCACAAGCAAATAAAAATTAATACCTAGCCAAGAGTCATAATTCAGGATTTCTTTGGGGGGTGCCCATCAGTACCTGGGGGGGAGGGCGTCCGCCCCGCGCACCCCTGTAGTTACGCCAATTCTTATCAGATATTTGTTTTTCTGGATATCAGTCAAGTTTTAATGAAATATATTTTTCTAAATTTACTAATTACCTAATAAAATAAGAAAACACAGTTTCAACTAAATACATACGATATTTTTTATACAGGGTGGTGGTCCGAACTGTATTCCGGAA